CATAAATACAAGTTAAACTTTGTTTTACTTACAAATGTTTTATTTATAAATGCGATTAGGGAATGTAATACAAGGGTACCGGGATCAGCGAGAGATGGGAGTTTGATGAAAAACGAAGTCGATGCCTTTTACGAACTAATAAAAGAAAACAAATTAAATTTGATTGGGTGGTAATGGGAACGCAGTGAAGGCGCAAAGGAGAACTTCCTCGTTTGAACTTGTTTGATATTTCTTCCAGGTTTAAACTTAACTGAACTTTTTAAAAATCCTGTTCAGTTCAAATATAATACTAATCATTATTTCAGAATGTGTGTGTAAAGATTTTTCTAGTACTGACGCTTTTTGAAGGCGATAAATTCAGATTGCAAGATGCTAGTTTTACAGTAATTTAAACAACAAGACTTGCACTTCGATAACAATGCCGTAGAAAAAAAGGCATTATGCATAGTGTTAAAAGATTGTTAACTGCACTTCTTCGGATTTGCGAGACTTAAAGCGGAGGTATATAACTTATCAACCGCCTTAATTATATTAAATTGATATTTTTTTTATAGAATAAGGGTACCAAACGAGCAAACAGTCCACCTGATGGTAAGTGATTGCTGTGGCCCATAGACATCTCCATTTATCCTCGATTAATAATAAAATCGCCGATGCGTTGTCACCCCAAAGGACTAAGATGAAATGCCTCGGTTTCAGTAAAAAAGGTCTCCGGATCTACACTCAACATACGAAACAGCAGTATTAAGCTGCTATTTTACACTGGTATTCTGTGCGAGCGTGGTCCTTCCCCGGTCGAGCTGACCCATTCGTGCTACAGCCATAATATAGCTGCAGCGTGGCTCTACCACATATGAAAATGATGGTTATGCGTTATGGCAAAACTTTGGAAACAGAGAGCAACACGGGCCACCGGCGGATTGAAGAAGAATGGCCATGGTGATGCTCTAACCACCGGCCGAGCCAATATTTCTCGGGAAAACGTCTCCGAGTGCCGGGACAAACTTGTGTCTGAAGTCGAGTCTTTGCTGAACAGAGTCTCGGATTGGGGGCGACTAAATCTAGTCCAGTTTAACCCCCAGAAGACACAAGTTTGCGCGTTAACCGCTAAAGAGAACCTCTTTGTCGTATCTCCTCAGTTTCAAGGCACTCCCCTTGTTGCCTCAGCCAGTATCGGAATCCTCGGCGTCGACATATTGAGTGACGTGCAGTTTCTTGGGCTATTGGAAACGAAGGCCAAATTGGCCTCTAAAAAGCTTGGCGTGCTCAGCAGAGCGGGACAGTGTTTCATGCCGGCACACCGCCTGCAACTTTACAAGGCGCAGGTTCGGCCGCACATGGAATACTGTTCCCATCTCTGGGCTGGGGCTCCCCAGTACCAGGTCCTTCCACTTGACCGCATCCAGCGCAGAGCGGCTCGAATCGTCGACGACCGAGTGCTTTTCGATCGGCTCGATTCACTGGCACTGCGAAGCGATGTTGCATCTCTTTGCATTTTTTTTTCGCATATACCATGGAGTGCTCTGAGGAATTGTTCGGATTAATCCCAGCCGCCAAATTTCGTGAACGCACAACGCGGCAAACATCCCGATACCATTCACACCATCTGGATGCTTGGCGGTCCACCACTGTACGTTTCAAGAGGAGTTTTCTTCCGCGTACAACCTCTCTGTGGAATAGTTTACCACCAGCGCTTTTCCGTACCGATACGACCTGGGGACCTTCAAGAAAAGAGCGTACTCCTTTCTAAAGGGCCGACAACGCACCTGCAATTCCCCTGGTGTTGCGGTTGATCATGGGCGGCGGTAGTCACTTAACATCAGGTGAGCCGCATGCTCGTTTGCCCCCTCTTCTATAAAAAAAAGAATACGCAGGCCCCTCGCGCTGCACGCGTTCCCCTCTGTCAAAGTATAAATCCACGTGGTCCTATACGTACATTAAAACTAGTTGCAGCCCCACTGCTCATCAGACTAGCTGCACGGCTGAATCGACGACCTGCAAAAAGCCGACATGTTGTTTTTCTTGCAAAAAGAGATCTGCCATGTCAAAAATTTGGTGTTGTCTATTATATGTAGGTAATTTACTTTAAACCCCATTATTGCTATTTACTTCTTTTTAAACTTTCACAAAGCACATCTCCTGCATCCATCGACTTCCCAAGTCGTCACTACATCTACTAAGGGGACGTACTACACTTCGTCTACCGGTACGGGACTGCCACCCAGTACCTTTCTTCCCCATTGGTTGTCGGTTCTTCGAGCCGACCGGCCCATCCCTACTTCAGCTTACTAGTCTGTAATCGGTTACTCTGGTTCTTCTGCGGATATCCACATTTTTATCTATCACGCAGAAAAACCTAGAGAATAGCCGTCTCCATAGCTCGCTGAGCAATTATCACCTTGATTTTACCCTAATAAAAACAAATTCTTTGCTTCTTAAACTGGATTGATAAAAAATACTAGTCTAGATAAATAACTTAGCAGCGAAAATAAAACTCAAATTTCAATACTGTATTGGTTTTTATTTTATCATTTGTTGTACACACTCGGGAGTACGATTTTAGAACATTTTCAATTACGGAATGTAAATATACATACCTTTACACCATAAGCTGTCGTTATTATAAAGTACATACCAGTCTCCTTGTTAATATAAAATCCGATGGATTTAGAAATAAGTAACTTAAGCGTACAACGTTAACTTAAATGCTCACTTATAATAATACTTACCCAAAACTTTACTTAAAAAAACAGAACGAATGACATCGCTTTTTAGTACCATTACATTAAAATCGATAATTACTTTGGTTGAAAGAAAGTGGGAGAAAATGACATCAAACAAAAAAATAACTGAATACACACACACACACACACATATATATATATATATATATATATATATATATATATATATATATATATAATATAATTAAACTAAACAAAAAAGCGACATAACTCGTAGTTATTTCAGACTAGATTTTTATCTACCATTTCCTTGCAGCCATGAAATTAATTGATGTTTACAGTCTGTTCTGCCACTACTACCTAGATCAACGTAGTGCAATATGTTAGTAGGCCCAAAACAACGAAATATTTTAATATCTTTATGATATTTATTGATTTGAAACTTAGATGATTAATCTGAAACTCTTGGATCATTACACTACAACCAATTTCAATGTTATTTCTAAGATGTATGTAACAATTTAAAGTTTTACGAAGTAAATTAGCTGACGGTACGATGAAGAGCAAACAAGATCATAATGTTTTTAAATCAGTTTTCTTATTTAATTGTTACATATTAGGATCATACAAAAAATGATTTTTAACTGCAATCCTCTTTGATTGAATTTGGTTTTGATAGTTGAAAGATTCATGACCTTAAAAGTTTTATTTGGTATTAGTAATATTGTTAATACAAAAATATTACATATATAAGTATTGTTGATTATTTAGAACGTTATATCTATGGACGGACAGACTTTATCCAAAGACAAACGTTTTGCTTTATAGGGCCACCACAACCGATACGTTCTTAATTTTAACAAATATTCACTTACTACATAATAAAATAGGTGGTTGAATTATACTTCATATAATATAAATTATACTATAATAACGAAGCAAAGACAATTGTACAATTTAGGTAAACACTTTTATATTTGAAATATTGAATATATTGTATAAATCAAACGTTTTTTTAATACAATAATATAATCTTTAATAATTACAGCAAATACTACTGTAAATAGTTTATATTCCCCAAATAGGGGTAAAACATTTGATGACACAACCGCAATAAATAGTATACAATAGAAAAACGAACTTCTAAACTCTTTGTGTAAACGGAAGACTGTTTTCTCGTGAGGAGAAAAATAAATAACAGTGAAGAGTGTGGTCCGAAGGACCAGCCTGATTTAATAATTTGTTCATAGAATATATAAGGATAAATTTTTCTTTTGTGGCTACCAGCTCTTCTTGTAAGAAAAAGAAACTCCATCGATCCCCACCTTCGCATCGATATAGTTTCATAGAACTCCAATAGTATTTGCTATAAGCATTGAGCAACGTAAACGTGATAACACATAACATTTAGTTGAATAATTGTTGTTCACAATGAAAAAGGATACATTTATGAGATCAACCAAACGAATTTAACATTTAAGTACAACATGACAACGGCTCATAATTATATGCAAATGGCATAAAAGTTTAAATGTCTTGAGAACACTATTTCGTTGACTAGGCGGAGTCGCGATGTTTCTTAACTAATATTTAACTAATTATACCTTATAAAACAATAATGTCTTTTACATATACAAAAATATAACTTGTCATCCACCTGAACTACCGCTACGGTCACTGGAGTCCACAAGTACTATATAGGGATTTTTTTCTTGCTTTTTGAGTATTTTTTACATTGTAAATCTTAACTATGTCGTAATTACTTCGTAAATGAACACATAACGTCTCACTGTTTAACTCTCGCACTGAACTGAAGACTTCGTTCGATATATGCGCCTCTATATACAGGGCCATTGTTGCTGCAATATTTTCCATATTGGTCCAAAATCTGTCTATATACTCGGTACTCGGTAACTTAAGTCTCAGTAGACTTAACTCAGTAAACTTAATAATTTTTAGATCAAATATATTCTCTTCTCATAAAGCATTTGCCAAGCAGTGCATACTATCATGTATTTATGACGGATTTCAGCCAATACAATATTTCAGGGTATCCGATAATATCCGAGATAAATTTTTCGAATTGGAAACGTCACAGCTACAAATCGACTGACTCCGACGACCGGCTCCGGGAGAATTATCAGACCATAAACGTCACAGATGAATGAAGTGTCGATAGTTTGGTAAATGACACCATCGTTGGAATATATCAACACAACGGGATAATCCATTCAGAAGACACATTGAAGAGGGGGAGTTTGGCAAACGTCACAAGTGCAAATGATGGGCGAGTACGCCAACGTGTCCAGCCAACCCTCAGTCGTGGGCGTCGCTGGTGGAACTGACGGACGTGTCTTGCCTCGAGCACTCCGCTCTCGGTTCGCCCGATGGAGAAGCCGTGCAGGATCTAGTAACAACAATTAGTATTTATAAAAAATGTACGCAGTCGGTGTAAGAATAGTCATCATATCAACCCGTGGGTGTACAATGGGGGAACGCAAAATAATAAAGACTGCGCTTGCCAACCCGCTCGTCAAGCGAGGCAATCGTTGCAAATACTACCATAATGAGGCAATGTATGGGGAAGGCCTGTTCAGTACTCCAGCAGTGGACCTTGGATAAGCTGTAATGGTTTAATGGTTGTGGCCTTACTAATTCTTAGCTTCCAATAGTCATATAATAAATAGCTTATCAAAGAATCGGTTGTCCACATCGATTATTGTATTTCAACCATTGAGGTAAGAAAATAGGAGAACGATCGCTATGTACTAAAGCATAGACCGCCTGTCCCTGAAAATTTGTAGAATTTATAGCCGCGCTGCCGTCGGTAATTAGTGTCTGCGAAATATTTTTTTTTTAATTTTTAACAAAAAAACATTAAAAATGCTGAAATATTATAAATAATAATAATAAATCAATAATAATTAATAATTTATAATAATTAAAATTATTGAAACAACTTAGCGGTCGCAGCGCCTCACTTATTTTGTCCATATTTCTGGGACACTATTTTATACAGCGATCGTTCTCCTGTTCTCTAACCTCCATGATTTCAACAACCAACACGATTAATTTTGTTTGAAGAAAAAATGTAATAAGTTTGACCATTTGACATACAAACGCATCGCGAACGAAGAAGAGAAGTATGACATGCATGGGGGCTTTTAATATAGTATTTTTACATGTATTTATATATATATATATATATATATATATATATATATATATATATATATAATATCAATATAATATATATCACAAATAACAGTATATTGATAATAATATTATCATAATTTGTGAGAAGACACTGGCCCCTGAGGTTTCACCTGCATTCGGAGTCAGGGACTTTAAATTTATTTGTTAAAATTTATTAGTGAAATAAACCATTATTATTAATGAGTATTTATAAAGTATTCTCATCTGGTTGAGCTGCATAAATATATAAAAGGATATAATAAATAAATATACATAAATATAATATATTAAATATACTAACATAAATAATACACAAATAAGTAAAAGCCCAACCAAATGGAAGCCCTCCGCAGGGGACACCAAACGAGCGACGGGGGGAAATCCTTATATGGCAACGCTGAACATATGTAAATTGCGAGGCGACACGAGTCGGCCGGCACACAACACACAACAAGTTGGGCCAACGTGCAGTGTGCTGACCTGTGCTCTGGCGCAGGCAGCGCGGGCGCCAGCTCGTTGAACAACGAGGCGCGGCTGCTGCGCTCGCTGCCCGCCGAGTACGTGCAGTGTGCTGACCTGTGCGGCGGCGCGGGCAGCGCGGTCGCCAGCTCGTTGGACAACGACGCGCGGCTGCTGCGCTCGCTGCCCGACTAATACGTGCATTGTGCTGACCTGTGCGGCGGCGCGGGCAGCGCGGGTGCTAGCTCGTCGGGCGACAAGGCGCGGCTGCTGCGCTCGCTGCCCGCCGAGTACGTGCATTGTGCTGACCTGTGCGGCGGCGCAGGCAGCGCGGGTGCTAGCTCGTCGGGCGACGAGGCGCGGCTGCTGCGCTCGCTGCCCGCCGAGTACGTGCAGTGTGCTGACCTGTGCGGCGGCGCGGGCAGCGCGGTCGCCAGCTCGTTGGACAACGAGGCGCGGCTGCTGCGCTCGCTGCCCGACGAGTACGTGCATTGTGCTGACCTGGTCGGCGGCGCGGGCAGCGCGGTCGCCAGCTCGTTGGACAACGAGGCGCGGCTGCTGCGCTCGCTGCCCGACGAGTACGTGCAGTGTGCTGACCTGTGCGGCGGCGCGGGCAGCGCGGTCGCCAGCTCGTTGGACAACGAGGCGCGGCTGCTGCGCTCGCTGCCCGCCGAGTACGTGCATTGTGCTGACCTGTGCGGCGGCGCAGGCAGCGCGGGTGCTAGCTCGTTGAACAACGAGGCGCGGCTGCTGCGCTCGCTGCCCGACGAGTACGTGCAGTGTGCTGACCTGGTCGGCGGCGCGGGCAGCGCGGTCGCCAGCTCGTTGGACAACGAGGCGCGGCTGCTGCGCTCGCTGCCCGCCGAGTACGTGCAGTGTGCTGACCTGTGCGGCGGCGCAGGCAGCGCGGGTGCTAGCTCGTCGGGCGACGAGGCGCGGCTGCTGCGCTCGCTGCCCGCCGAGTACGTGCAGTGTGCTGACCTGTGCGGCGGCGCGGGCAGCGCGGTCGCCAGCTCGTTGGACAACGAGGCGCGGCTGCTGCGCTCGCTGCCCAACGAGTACGTGCGTTGTGCTGACCTGTGCGGCGGCGCAGGCAGCGCGGTCGCCAGCTCGTTGGACAACGAGGCGCGGCTGCTGCGCTCGCTGCCCGACGAGTACGTGCATTGTGCTGACCTGTGCGGCGGCGCAGGCAGCGCGGGTGCTAGCTCGTCGGGCGACGAGGCGCGGCTGCTGCGCTCGCTGCCCGCCGAGTACGTGCAGTGTGCTGACCTGTGCGGCGGCGCGGGCAGCGCGGTCGCCAGCTCGTTGGACAACGAGGCGCGGCTGCTGCGCTCGCTGCCCAACGAGTACGTGCGTTGTGCTGACCTGTGCGGCGGCGCAGGCAGCGCGGGTGCTAGCTCGTCGGGCGACGAGGCGCGGCTGCTGCGTTCGCTGCCCGCCGAGTACGTGCAGTGTGCTGACCTGTGCGGCGGCGCGGGCAGCGCGGTCGTCAGCTCGTTGGACAACGAGGCGCGGCCGCTGCGCTCGCTGCCCAACGAGTACGTGCATTGTGCTGACCTGTGCGGCGGCGCAGGCAGCGCGGGTGCTAGCTCGTCGGGCGACGAGGCGCGGCTGCTGCGCTCGCTGCCCGACGAGTACGTGCATTGTGCTGACCTGTGCGGCGGCGCGGGCAGCGCGGTCACCAGCTCGCTGGACAACGAGGCGCGGCTGCTGCGCTCGCTGCCCGACGAATACGTGCATTGCGCTGACCTGTGCGGCGGCGCAGGCAGCGCGGGTGCTAGCTCGTCGGGCGACGAGGCGCGGCTGCTGCGCTCGCTGCCCGCCGAGTACGTGCAGTGTGCTGACCTGTGCGGCGGCGCGGGCAGCGCGGTCGCCAGCTCGTTGGACAACGAGGCGCGGCTGCTGCGCTCGCTGCCCCACGAGTACGTGCAGTGTGCTGATCTGTGCGGCGGCGCGGGCAGCGCGGTCGCCAGCTCGTTGGACAACGAGGCGCGGCTGCTGCGTTCGCTGCCCGCCGAGTACGTGCATTGTGCTGACCTGGTCGGCGGCGCGGGCAGCGTGGTCGTCAGCTCGTTGGACAACGAGGCGCGGCTGCTGCGCTCGCTGCCCGACGAGTACGTGCATTGTGCTGACCTGTGCGGCGGCGCAGGCAGCGCGGGTGCTAGCTCGTCGGGCGACGAGGCGCTTCTGCTGCGCTCGCTGCTCGCCGAGTACGTGCAGTGTGCTGACCTGTGCGGCGGCGCGGGCAGCGCGGTCGCCAGCTCGTTGGACAACGAGGCGCGGCTGCTGCGCTCGCTGCCCGACGAGTACGTGCATTGTGCTGACCTGTGCGGCGGCGCAGGCAGCGCGGGTGCTAGCTCGTCGGGCGACGAGGCGCGGCTGCTGCGTTCGCTGCCCGCCGAGTACGTGCAGTGTGCTGACCTGTGCGGCGGCGCGGGCAGCGTGGTCGCCAGCTCGTTGGACAACGAGGCGCGGCTGCTGCGCTCGCTGCCCGACGAGTACGTGCATTGTGCTGACCTGTGCGGCGGCGCAGGCAGCGCGGGTGCTAGCTCGTCGGGCGACGAGGCGCGGCTGCTGCGCTCGCTGCCCGCCGAGTACGTGCAGTGTGCTGACCTGTGCGGCGGCGCGGGCAGCGCGGTCGCCAGCTCGTTGGACAACGAGGCGCGGCTGCTGCGCTCGCTGCCCGACGAGTACGTGCAGTGTGCTGACCTGTGCGGCGGCGCGGGCAGCGCGGTTGCTAGCTCGTCGGGCGACGAGGCGCGGCTGCTGCGTTCGCTGCCCGCCGAGTACGTGCATTGTGCTGACCTGTGCGGCGGCGCGGGCAGCGCGGTCGCCAGCTCGTTGGACAACGAGGCGCGGCCGCTGCGCTCGCTGCCCGACGAGTACGTGCATTGTGCTGACCTGTGCGGCGGCGCAGGCAGCGCGGGTGCTAGCTCGTCGGGCGACGAGGCGCGGCTGCTGCGCTCGCTGCCAGCCGAGTACGAGTTGTCGCTCGTCAACTGCACAACAACCAACAAACTATCATTTATTACATAATTTTATTAATAAAACTTTAATGATAAACTGACAGTTATGCAGAAATAAAAAACGATCCAACCCACAAGCTGGTCAAAATAATGATATTACACTTTTCTCAGTTTTTTTTTTCAAGTATCAAAGACTTCTAAAAAATAAAAAAATCTACATGCAATTTGCTTGCCAAGAGGTGTTAATGCCGTGCCTCGGCATAAATTGAAGGTGCAAAGGCCCGCTTGTGCATATGGCCTCACGAAACGGCGCCGGGTCTTGACGTCTCCCGTTAAATGACGCCCATAAAAATAGATAATGAAATTTTATAGAAGGCGCAAATGGCCGCTGCCTGGAGGTCGCCAGGGCGCATCTGGAGCTGGCGCTGGACGCGACAGCATGCGAACCGCCAGCCCAGCGCGAGGTGTTCCTCGAAAACCTAGTAGCCCCGCGCATCCATCATCCCCACCAGCGGGCGGGCTTGGTGTCGGCAGGGTCTTCGCGGGCCTAGCAATGGGCACCCACCACTGGTGGAGTACGCCGCATGGGTTGGACAATCTCGATGAACAGCAACGCATTGCGGGCGTATTTTAGGGCGAAAGTGGGAGAAATTGGAGGTTTTTCGTATCGGGCAAGGATGCATCGACTTTTTGCTAAGCTGGAGCCATCTGTAACCGTCAACGAGCAAAACATGGCAGACCGAGTACGGTATATCTTGCGCTCAAATATATTTGATGACGCCGAACTCGAACGGCTGCGACGTAAGGCTGTTTCCTCATCAGATGAAAGTGCTACGACTGAGGTTGCGGTGCCACAAGTTGCAGAACAACCCACACAGGTGGATGCCGCCGTTAATACCCCAGTGGTAGCTAATTCAAATGATGGTGGAACAGTCGCTCAGGAACTAGAAATAGAGCAAATGAGGAATACATTGGAAGGGGCGATTGTGGAAACGCGCAGTACGCCTCTCGAAAATTGACCACGTCTTCCCCACATAGCACCAAGCAAGCGGAATCGGGCTGTCGTGAGGGCTCTGAACCGGGTGACCTATTTGGAAGCCATCCGGGACCTTTGCGAGACGGACTCAATTCTTTTTGGCGCCGCACTGGGAGTCTGCCGTATTATAGGCGCCAAGCTTTCCACGGCTGGACACGCTACTGGACAGAGTAGCGCTATCCCAGCCTGGAGAAGAATTGAGGAACGTATCGCAAAGGCTAGAGCTCTCATCGGCAGACTGATATGCTTCAGGTCAGGCAATAAAAGGCCAAAGATTGTGAGCACCGTCAGGATGGCGTTTGATGGGACAAATGCCAGTTTGTCCCAGGTGGATATAACGCAAAAACTGACGGAGCGCATAGATGATCTGAAGCAGAGAATCGCTGCTTGGGGAAATCGGATTCGGCGATATACCGAGAGATCGACTCCGTTCAACCCGAATCGTCTCTTCCAGAGTGATCAGAAGAGGCTCTATGAATCATTGGAGCGACCAATGGTAAGTGGAACGGCTCCAGCACCTAATCAGGGCGACACTGTAGCGTTCTGGCGCGGCCTGTGGTCAGAGCTCGTAAACCACAGCGAGAGCCCTTGGACGGAAGTTGTAGTGTTACGCTCATGGACCCCGTCATCATAACGCCGGACGACGTAGCTGAGGCGGTCCGTAGGGCCCCTAACTGGAAGTTTCAAGAAGCTCTCAACCAGAAGTCGCTCCCGAGCCTCTTCACTACTGGGATCACTGATTTGGTTCCTAAAGACCAGGGTACCACAGACCCAAGCAAATACCGCCCCATCACGGTCAGGAACTACTCCACCGTCTGGATAGACTACAGAAAGGCATCCGACTCTTTGCTCCATACATGGCTAAAGAGGGTCCTCGAGCTGTACGAGATTGACTGTACAGTTTGAGACTTCCTCGAGGAGAGTATGGGGTAGTGAAGTACGATTCTTTGTCACCTGGGCGAGCAGGTGACGACTGCGGAAAGCCACATAAGGTTAAGAAGGGGTATATTCCAGGGCAATTGTCCGAGTCCAATCTGGTTCTGCCTCTCTTTGAACCCCTCAGTACTTTACCTTCGGAAAGGAGGTACAAAAGTGACCCACGGGGAATTGGAATATAGATATCCTCAAAGAAGGAAAAAATACGTACGAGCTATTTGAAATATTAGAAAGTTACAATGTATCTATCCATATTAAAACCCCTACTAGGAAAAATGCATGTATTGATCAAGTAGCCAGCAATATAAGCAAGGTAGATGCCGAGATCTTAAACCTGGCATTATCAGACCATGAAACAGGTCAAGCCATATCGTTTCAAATTCAAAGAAAATCTACTGTAACAACCTGGCATGAATTTCGCAGAGACTACAGTAAAGAAAACATTCAAAAGTTTTCTGACTGTCTATCGCGTCTCTCCTTTTCGGAAGTATACGATCAGACCAGTGTTGATGAGGCCTATAGATCATTCCATAACTTGTTAACTCTATTTCATGGACTTTGCTTTCCTATAATTAAATTACAACAACAAAAAAAAAAAAAAAAAGTCAAGTATTACGAAAAGAAAACTTTACCTAACCTATAAACACTCTAAAACTAATAAAATGTTAAATAAAAATAAATACGAAACTATCTTTTGAAAAAGTGCATATATAAAGCTCAACAAAAAACCAACTTAAAATACATTCTTAATAGTAAAAATATTTGAAAAGTTGTTTTGAATTCAGTAAATTCAAGTATAAATGAAACTACCCAAATTAATAAAATTGACGTGACTAAATTTAATGACCAAACAATTAGTAACCCTGGCATGATATGTGAATTATTTAGACGGAGTTTGTATTAATAACATAAGTTATGCAGATGATATGGTGCTGCTGAGTCCATCAAGTGCAGCCTTAAAGAAAATGTTAACTATATGCGAATCTTATGCTGTGGCCCAGGGGCTCAAATATAATGCTGTTAAGAGCGAATTCATGATGTTCAATCCGGACCACAAGCGATACACTAATGTGCCACTTTTTAAGCTCTGTGGAACCCCTTTGAAAAAAAGTTGAGACCTTTAAGTACCTGGGCCACTGGATCACAGATGACCTGAAAGACAACCAGGATATTAAGAGGGAGCGGAGGTCGCTGTCTGTCCGCTGTAATATGCTGGCCCGCAGATTTGCTAAATGTACTGACGAAGCAAAGATTACGCTTTTCAAGGCTTACTGTCAGTCATTTTATACGTGCAGTCTGTGGGTTAACTTTACGCAGAGGGCATACAGTGATCTTCGCGTACAATACAATACCGCATTCCGGGTATTGATAGCGCAGCCGCGTTTCTGTAGCGCTTCTGCTATGTTTGCGGAGGCTCACGTAGATGGTTTCACCGCCATAATGCGTAAACGTTGCGCTTCACACCTTAGGCGCATTCGCGACAGCCCCAACAGTATCTTGTGTGTTTTGGCAGACCGTTGGGACTCGCTGATGCTTGCTCGATGGATACGGCTGCACGCAGTCAAGTAGTCATCTTGCGGGCGAGGCCGGGTGCCATATTTGTTTGTGTGGTTTTTCTGTTTGTCCTTGTTTTATGTTATATGTGTTATGTTTCAATTGTCAATTACTAACATTAGTTATATAAGCTCTAAAAATTGTTACTAACCTATAATATGGATCATGATGTCCGAAATAAACGTTTATTATTATTATTACTATTATTAACAATTTTTTTATTGACCTAAGTAACATCAATAATACAAATAAGTCTGGTAACAATTCTGCTCAACCAAATATAGATCAACAAATCCAAATACAATTTTCTTACAACCAACGGAACCAGCGGAAATTAAGAAAATAATCAAAGAATTAAAAAACACAGATTCAGTTGGCTACGACAAACTCAGTACCAAAATACTAAAGTCATGTGCCTGTTATATCTGTACACCACTGAGTTTCCTTATAAACCTATAATTTTTGGGGGCACATTCCCGGAACATCTTAAGATTTCTATAATAAAACCAGTTCACAAAAAAGGAGATGAAAAAGATCTCAATAACTATAGACCAATAACTTTGATCCCCGTAATATCAAAGATATTTGAGAGAACTATGTACGATAGACTAAGTAAATTTATACAAAAATTTGGTATCTTAACTGAAGATCAATTCGGTTTTCGCAACAACAGATCCACGACTTTAGCATGCTTCAATTTTATTAAAGACATAGCAGAGAGTATCGATAGAAAAACTCCTGTAACTGCTCTCATGCAGGACATGACCAAAGCTTTTGATCTTGTTGACCACGAAATTCTGTTAAAAAAAATTGAAAGTTACGGGATAAGAGGTGCGGCTTACACATGGCTAAGCAGTTACTTGCAAGGCCGAAAACAATGCACAGAAAGCACGACAAGACAGCATATTTACCAAAGAACTACATCGTTCACAGTTTAGATTTAATGACCGTGGTATCCCTCAGGGTAGTATTTTAAAACCTTTAATCTTTTTGCTATAGGTATATTAATGACTTGTCTAAAATAACCAATCATAAATGCATCTTGTTCGCAGACGACACAATTTTTATATTTAAATGCACCAAAAAAGACATTTATATGAAATCGAAATAAGTAACATTAATACTATTGTGACATGGCTTAATTCAAATAATCTTTTACTTAATATTGACAAAACAAAAATAATACAAATTGGAAATTACAAAATGGAACCTATAAATATGAATATAAAATATGAAAATTCGAAGATAGAAAATGTTGAATCAGTTATGATTTTAGGTATAAAAATTGACAAAAATTTAAACTGGAATCCTCACATTGACCAGATTTGTACAAAATTAAACCGGTTTGTATATGCTTTAAAAAGATTGAGAAAAACAATATCACAAAAAGCAGCCCTAGCTGCTTATCACGGTTACGTGTCGTCAGTATTATTATATGCTCTGCCTTTGTGGGGAAATTCTGTTGAAATGATTAGAGCGTTTAAATTACAAAAGAAATGTGTGTGAGCGATATGTGGTGCGTGGTTTCTTGTTAGCTGTAAGCCTTTGTTCAAAAAGATACGTATATTGCCGTTGCCATGCATGTATATTCGAGAAATATGTATTTTTGTAAAGCGACACCCGAACTACTTCAAAACCCACGCTGAATCTCTCGAAAGGCAAACAAGGCATAAAAATAGATTATTTCATCCCAAATGCAGCTCTAGATTTTATACAAACAGTGCTCCTATAATGGCTATTAAAATATATAATAAATTGCCCAATAACTTAAAAGAAATGGCCTTTGAATAAATTCAAAATTGAGATTAATAAATGGCTTCTTGACAAGTGTTATTATAGTATTAAGGAATATTTTTATTAATTGCAATATTATTTAATGTATTATATAATTTATTTAATCTTTTGACATATATGTACAATTAAATTTGATCATTTTAAGATATATTTGCACACCGGTACAACTCCCGGTAGAATATTATTGAGACTTACTCTTATACTAAATACCTGTATTACCCTAAACATTTTATTCTGCAAATAAAGATTTTGACTTTGACTTTGACACGTTTTCTATATGGATAACCTCAAGTTATTCGCCACCAGTCGCCCCCATCTTGTGGAATTGCTAAACATCACTTGTGATTTAAGATGATTTAAGATTGAGCTGAGAACGGAGAAGTATGTGGTCCTCAATGTTGAAAGGGGAAGGGTTGCTAACTCCGAGAGTATAGATTTATCTATGCCCGTCAACTTAAAGACCCTTTCCGAGACTGAAACATACCGAATCTGGGTATGTCATAGAACATCGGTATCGATTAGGCTGGTATGAAACAGTCAGTTTGCGACGTGTTTTATGCACGCTTGACCAAAGTGCTTAACAGACTTTTGTCTAGTGTGAATAAGACACGCATATAACGGTTGGGTCATGCCTGTCCTTATGTATACCTTTAGCATACTCAGGTGGACTCAGACTAAACTTAACGCCCTGGATAGAAAAGTCCGCACTACCATGATGTCCTATAGGATGCATCATCCGAAATCGTCGGTGATGAGGCTGTACTTGCCGCGAAGGCATGGTGGGCGTGGATTTTTGAGCGCGCTCACCATGCATAATATTGCGAAGTATGCAGCCTCCGTAATTACTTCCTGGCGAGATCGGATGTTTCATTCTATAAGGACGTCATTTCTTGTGATAAAGGACTTACCCCTCTATCCTTCGCCAACGAGCAATAGCAAGACCCGGCAGTACAGAGCATTTCCGACCGGGAGACCGTATGGAAGAAGAAGGAGCTCCACGGGAGGTTCTACAAGGCTCTACATGAGCCTTTCGTAGACACAGTAGCCTCCCTCCACTGACGCTTTGGTGACCTCTTCGGAAAAGCCGAGAGTTTTGTCTGAGCAATACAGGATCAGGTTATTAAGACCAAAAACTAACGGAGATACATCCTAAAGGATGGCACCGTCGACATCTGTCAAGCTTGTCGCCATCCCGGTGAGTCACTTAGGCATGTCATCTCCGGTTGTTCGGCGCTTTCTAACTCTGAGTACTTCACCACAACCATACGATCTTCACCAGATTAGTCAAAACGGTTCGAACGGAAATCCGATTAAAAACAGAATACCAAAAGAATTTAATTACCACCTAACACTAAGCAAAACAGACAAGCAATCAAAATATCTGGATCTGGCTCACGAGGTGACCGACATTTGGGGTGGTCTGCCAACTGCAATTATTCCCGTAGTCATTTCTGCAAACGGGCTAATCCCAGTCAGCCTCTCAGGTCATTTGAGACGGCTGGGACTCCGTGACGGACCGTTTCAGGCTGAAATGCAGAAGGCGGTGCTGCTCGATACCACCCGCATCGTCCGCCGGTTTCTTTCCCTTTCCACCTAACCCTTTGCCGTAAGGTCTTCCCTGCCGAAGGCCTTCATCTGGTTGGGCTTTTATTTATTTATGTTAGAATATTAAATATATATTTATGTATATTTATCATTTCCTTTTATAAATTTATCCAGCCCAACCAGATGAGAATACTCTATTAATACCCCAAAATAATAATAATAAAGCCATTTATTCAATATCTTCACTTTCTTTTTACATTTCTGCATTTGTTAGTAAGTTAATTGTCTGCTGTATGCTGATGATGCAGTGCTTATTGCACCATCAGGAGCAGAACTGCAGGCATTAGTCACGTGTATGAAAGAGGAATATGAAATTAAAGGTCTCCGTTTGAATGCTAATAAAACTAAGGTTCTGGTATTTGAAAAGGACGAAGAGAGAACGAAATGTGAAATATGGGTAAATCAGGAATGTCTAGAACAGGTAAATGAAATTGTATACTTGGGGAGTGCTTTCAGCCGGGATGGAAGATGTGATTTAGATGTGGACAGGCGTGTCGCTGCCGGGAACAAAGTCAATGGTGTCCTGAATGCGTTAGTCAAAAGGCAAGGCGTAATGAAGAGTGCACGCCTTGCAATACATAACGCAGTGTTGGTACCGACTTTGTTATATGGCAGAATGGTGAAGAAAATATATAGAGCGAAAGTAAATATTAAAAGGGTCGAGGTAGACCGAGACTAACTTTCGAAGACCATGTGAGCAAATTGCTCGAAGAGGGGAGGGTCAAGAGTACTCGGGTACCTAGACGTGCATGTATGAAGAAGTTAATGAACCTGAAAGAAGCGAAAGAGGTATGTAAGGATCGTGACACTTGGCGATCTGTTCTCTCTGGCTACCCCGTTAGGGATTGTGCGTGAAGATAAGTAAGTAAGTTAGTAAGTTAATTTGTATTTAAAATTGAGAAAGAAATACTTATAATTAATGTTAGTATTGTTTATGAGATGTGGACCCCTGTTTGGGTAAAGGCCTCCTCCCTCCTTTTCCATGACTCCTTGTCCTTGCCTAACATCATCCCGTCGTTTCCTGCGGCGTATGTTATGTCATCAGGCCACCGTCTTAATTGTCGACCGACATTTCTTTTTCCCTTTGACATCGTTTGGCATCAATCGTCCATCTTCTATCTGGGTATCGTGAGATGTGACCGGCCCATCTCCACTTTAACAAGAGTGCGTGCTTGATCTGTAAGTTTTGTTTTTTGACGAATGTTCTTAATTTTATGTATTCTAATTACCAACATGCTTCTTTCTAGTGCTGTTTGAGTTCATTTGATTTTTTGTTTAATTTTGTCGGTACTACGATCGTCCGATCCCAGGCGTAGTATGTACATTCGTGAGAGAATAGATCTAAATATATCTTGAATATTTTCCGCTTAGTTGGTAGTTACCAACAGCGCTTGAAAGTTGTCGGTCGTCATGAGGACTTTGAACAGGGTGATTTCTTATATTTATGCGTACACTAGACATTTAAACTAGTTTTTACGGATTTTATCTTATATACGCGATAAAATCCGTAAAAACTAGTACTGTTTAATTCAAACAGGGTATTAACATCATTATATTTGAAAGTGAAACAAGAGCTTTGAAAGTATGTATACTCAAAAACTTCTATATAGAATACTCTTTTATAAAGTATATTGTTTGTATATTTAATCCAAGTAAAGTTCCCCAATATAATACAATTACACCTTTTTTCTTAAATAGCAACAACCGACATATTATTTGTATTTCCGTTAACCACTCGAACTGTACCACTAAGCTGTAATGCTTGAGCTGAAATTACGCATTATTTTAGTAATGACCATTACAATATACTGTAAATCCATTTAACTTTTTTGTTAAAATATCAGCAGTAGAGAACATTAAACATTTAAACGTAAACACTTAAGTAGGTGTGTCATTTGTATCCATAAGATCAATGGAAACACGTTAAATCAGAATGCTACCTATATCTAGATTCAATAAAATAAATAAATAAGTCACCAGTGTGAGCGGGTGCCGACTTCTGGCGGGGCTGAGCGCCCGACTGCGCGCCTCCTCCACCTCCAGCTGCAGGATGCTCTCCTGGCTGCCGGTGAACTGGAAATCAAAACACGTTTTTACCCTGTGTTCTTTTCCACAAGCCCAGATTTTTTTTAAATAACGTTATCCGCACTTACCCAGCTTTGTTACTCACTAAAGGATTTTTATTGTATCGTGGAAGTCGCTTAGGTACGTCAAATCAACTGTACATGGACAAACATCTAGATCCGGAACAATTACTTATAGACCATACAAATACTTTTATCCGTTTCTAATATTTGTCAATGGCGTCAATAGTAACGATAAATCTAAATAATTCAAAACATATTAAAGGAAACATTATAACCAATTATAACTCTTTATTACTGTTGTCAAATAACTGTGCAACTTACCACGAAACCGTAATACTTGAGTATATCCATTTTGCACATGGGACAGGTGCGATGCTCTAACAACCAAGGATCGATGCAGTTCTTGTGGAAGTCGTGTCTGTAATCCACAGATTGTATATATTACCTTCTTTTTCGTTTTTTAAATTTATTTATTTTTATGTTTTTAATTTTTACTTAAAATTAAAAATTGTGTGCTATCTTTATAAAATTATAGTGCCAAATGAACTTATAGTCCACCTGATGACAAGTGTTTGCTGCAGTACATGAGCCACAAATTTCGTTCGACTCCTAAAAATAGAAAATTGTACTTTTTTTAACTAAATTCGCCACGAAGATATTTAATCGCTACTGTCCACATAACAGCTTACTGTCAACTGTCCTGTAACTAAACCCGTTATTGTACATGTCGAAGTGTAATTCGGCTATAAGGTGAAATCTCTCACAATCTATAGTTATACTGTCTCTACTGGTTCTCTGTACCCTTCATACCGGAATAGCAGTGCACTCATTGCTGTTAGTCGGCACAAATGGCATGGCTTCTAGGGATAAAAGAGGTCCTACCGTCTAGTAAATTTGTTTGTTCGTTTTATTGAATTTCGGCCAATATATAAAACCGACGAAAATTTTAGTTTCTCAGACATCAAGGTTTCCAAATGATGATTTACTTCCCCGCTACTGATAAAATGAGCTCTTATATCAGCCACCGCAGAGCCTACATCACCTGAGGATGGATGTTGTATTATTGTCGATGATGTATCTTTCCTAGTGTAGTAGTGCTTGGATTAGTGGGGACGGGATTAGTAACTTATAATTGTGATAAAAACATCAGTTTTGAGTCGGGGATCGAACTAGGAATTCTCTTAATTCTTTATAAAAGTCTACGCACGCAGTCTACCTAATAGTAGGTGGATACTGTGACCCATGAACATCTATAAGAATTGAAAGGCAGATTCATCGACACTTCTGAGGACTAATATTGAATGCCTCGTTACGAGTACCAGTAAAAAGCCCTTGAACCTTGACCCCTTGAAATTGAACTCCTACCTTCAATGTTATGTATCATAAGTGAACACTCCTATATTTTAAATATCAAAAGTCAATTTGGACAAAACTGTACTAACTCACCTACAAGGAAGTGATCTGAGCGTTTCCGATACTTTATATGGCTCTATGCAGATGGCGCAGCATTCGCCGTCTCCTTGTACTTCCTGAAACAAACCGACGTCCGCGCGTTAGTTTATATATATACATTTTATTTAACGTGTTACATTAGCAACGCGCCACTTACTCGGTCATCAGTCTTTAAGCTTTTGGTGGGTATTTTCGAGAGTGCTTTCTTAGCCGCATAGCACAAGCGTTTCTGAAAAAAAAATTCACATTTACCTTAAACGTATATTTTTTCTTCATGATACTAATATATGTATCATCACGAAAATCAGTTTTAAAGAAATTTATGTGACGATATTTTAGCAACAAGAAATCGCTTTTTTAACTTTATGTGATTTTATTTTATTTGTAAAACCTTAGAGGCTTAGAGAGTAATAGAAAGACTTTACAATCTTCTTTTTTACAATTTTAATGTCAAATATACTCTACATTTTACACAACAATGAATCCTCTAGAATCTCACTCAAGTACTGTTACAGTCGCAAATTCATCATTAAAAATAGAACAGTTATGCGAAATAAAATTAGGCGTAATTTCACAAATACATTGGATTAAAGAGAAAGAATCTTGTGTTGAAGATGGAACACATTATAATTACGTTAGTTTTCTCATCGTTAATACTCACAGAGAGACGATCCTTAGCGTGTATGTACCGGAAGCGCTGAATATAGTAGAAGACCAGCCAAGCCAGCGAGATCACCATCAGCACTATGAATGAGATCGACACGAACAGCACCGAGGTCCTGCAACATGTTTGTTTTTATAAACTGCAAACGTAAAGCAATTTTTTATGATAAAAATAACAAACGAACTAGCAGTTCACCCGATCTTAAGGATATCTTGTAACACAGTTATGAAAACGTTACCAGGCTCCATGCAATTGTCGATCAAATTCGAAAGCGGGGAGAATTTTAGAAAAAGAAATGTCTTTCTACCTTACAGATCTTCACATAATGAACCGAAATTCACAATAATAAGCGCGAGGCACAGTTTATAGTAGTAGTTAGTATATATAGCTACGTATACTATATATATATATATATATATATATATATATATATATATATATATATATGTATATATATAGTAATATTTACTATTTTATTCTGTGTGTAAAATCAGAATAAGAAATCGATATAGACATCGCTTCACCTTCCATGTATAGCAAATTCTATCTGATCAGAACAATGATTGGCCTTGTAGTAAAATTCAGGACTAGTTAAAATTAAATGAAATGTAATTTGGAAAATCAACACGTATACAAGTATATAAAATGCGCATAATAAATAGAAGTGCAAATGAGGAAATAAGTAATGAGACGGCCTTGAATAATACCTAAATCATGGACGAATTCCAATTATTACAAAACTGAAACGACGCAACGTACGACACGTATTCAGAACTACACAAATAATTATATCTATTTTAAAACAAACTCAATTCGCTGTATATCATTTAGATAATGAATAGATTCACGACATTATTTTGTTACAAATCATTTTGTTACGAGAAAATTATCTTATAATAATGGAATGGTGTGCGATAACAAATCTGAAGTCTTCTCTCTACACGTTAAAGGAAATAAATGACCATTAATTAATTTTATAATTCATCATTACCTGTTTTTTTTGTTTGATAAAAAAGCATTGAGAAATTTTTATCAAAGTGGTCCGTAATGTTACTTGTTCACAATTGAAGTCATTTTAAATTTCAAAGTATCAGTAAAAAATCAGTTTTTAATGATCACACGGATTTCTAGTTCTACATCATCAGTACGTAAAAGTCTACTTCTAGATGTGCGTCTAGAAGATATATAAGATTTTACTGGCATTTCCTACAATCGCAACTTACGACATCCACGGGACAAAAAGGCGTAATGAATTCCACGCCGTCACCAAATGCCTGATTCACTAGCGGTGCAATGTAATCCATAAGCTGACGCACTTACTTGTTGATGTTGTTGTTGATGTGTGTGAAGGTGCGACCCTTGATGATGGCGATCATGACACGAGTGCCATTGTCCACCAGCCGCGTGATCTCTTCACCCTTCCACTTGTAAGTGAATACAGCACTTATGTTACCTTGAACAAAATTATAATATGAAATATACGTTAGTATCTCATGTAGGTTCCATAAATAATATACAGGAAAAATAAAAATAAATTATAAGAATAGAAATACTATTTGTTGGTTCAAGAAGATATTATATGTTACGTGCAGAATGTGTTATTGTATCGACACACTCAAATTTAATCTAATTCAATATACGAGTCTTCTCGTAATAGTCGCTTCTCTACCAATGACTGACTGACTCATTCCGAGATCTCTAAAACTATACACTCGATTGGCTTGAAATTTATTAAAGTTACCATCACTATTTTGCAATGTAAACGCTCACTGAGAACAGATTTTCCGACAGTCCCATCAAAAAAATTACTTGATATTTTACATCGAGGAACCGCAATAAAATATTATCGTGCGCCCAGCGAAGCGAGCGGGTATTAGCTGGTGATTAAAAAAAGGAAAAGTCGTAGTGCCTTGCTTTTTCTTTCGTTTTATATTTTTATCATAAATTAAAAAATCATATAGACTTATGCTGAGATGGGGCAATCGCGCGGCCGAATTTTAAAGACGTTGCTAGCGCACGTCTATCATTTACTATAACATGAGTTACATGGCAAAATTAATATTGATATTAAGTTAAAAAATTGTTTGTTCGGTTCACTTCACTCGCTGTAACGAACGGAATAATACAGTTTTGTGGGTGATCCACACATCTATTTTTACCACAAACATAAACCGCTGCAAATACCATTACAATTCTGACCATCCTTGGTTTTATGATTTGAGGTAGCCACCGAACACTATGAGATAAGATGTGGTATTTAAGTGCTCATGTACTAGGTGCTTAACGGTAAAGGATTACATCATGAGGGTACCTGCATGACTGAGGAACAAATATATTTCTAAGGCACGAACTCCACCCTCGCACATTGGAGCCGCGCGATAGACTAATTTTTCCATTAACCTCTTAGAAGTTTTTTTTTATAGATTAGGAGTGACAAACGAGCACACACTCCACCTGATGGTAAGTGGATGCTGTGGCCCATAGACATTACGTTTATCCTCAATTAAGAATCAAAACACAGATGCGTTGTCACCCCTGAGGACTTAGATGGAATGCCTCGTTTCCATTAAAAAAGGGTCTCCGGATATCTACACTCACCATACACTCACCACTCGAAACACAGCAGTACTAAGCTGCTATTTTACGCTGGTATTCTGTGAGAGCGTGGTCCTTCCCCGGTCGAGCCGACCTATTCGTGCTACAACCATTATACCACGTACTCTACCACGTACAAAATAGTTTTATTAGATTAAATAGTATTAATATAGTTACTCGTAAAGGAGACCTTAAAGTATTCATAAGCATAGCTTACTTATGTATAATCTAAGAGGCGTATACTCTCATGAGTTCTAAATGCAATAATAATCACTATCACTAACTGTGCTAAATAACACAGCTTGGGAAACTGTTGACTGATGAAGTACTGGATTTGATAATAAAAATTAATTGCATCACTGTGAAACCTTGCGTCCCAGTTATATTATGCAGTTTTACCTATATAAGGAAAATTTCTTCAATCTTATTTAACCTCCATCTATCATTTAATTACACAAAAACACATTATCTCTTTGAAAATTACTTAGGTACTGTATCTGAAATAAATCTAACGGTTCTTTATTTAGTGCTGAAATTAGAAAAATTTAATAATTATGGAATCACCTTGATGGCCGTTAGTCTGCCACCGAAGTATTTCTCAAAGATTGCACGTAGATAGAAATTTACTATTGTTGTAATATTACGTAGGGTTAGATTTATATATATTTAATATAATAAGTCTTCAAGATAATCGTGTGGGATATTAAATCAAAAAGTGTTTGAAGTACAATACAAAAAATGTAATTCATTATTTTGTGTTTAATTCGAATTAAATATAATAGGATTTAATTATGTAGACCAGTTAAAATTAAAATTATATGCAGGGTAATTTCGTTTCAAGTTTCGTGATTAACGTTTTTTATTACACAAATATTACATTGTAAATTTAAAAACAAATCGACATTCTATTTTTTTGACTTCAATTGTTTTCAAGTAGAGTATTTGACATAAACAAGACCTCCAAAATTAATTTTCGAATACGAGTTTTGACGCGATTCTAATGCAGCAGTCAACTTGCAATATCAACAATGCTGCGTTTGGGGAGAATACGACTAACAAATGTCCTGTGCATTTATGGTTTATTCTCTTCTGCAACTGAAATTTCGACCAGAAAAATGAACCACGAGGAAGACCAAATACTAAGGCAAATAACAATAAATTGAAGGCAATGTTGGATTTGATTCTTATCAAAAAACCAAGAAGTTAGCGGCACGGTTTGACGTTAGTTTAAATAAGTAAGTTTAAAAAACGCACAAAATTGGTAAAATATAAAAAATCGAGAAATTTCGCGAGTGTTATTCAGAAATCGGTACAAAATGACATCATAGACCTCGTACGAGTCAAGATTCCCGGAGATTTATTGATTTATTGCAAAGGTACTAAAATGATCTTCCCTGAGATAGAAGAAATTATTAATAAGGGTAAATACATCGATTAAACAAAAAAAAATTTTTTTGGGAAAATTACTTTAATCCCTAATATTTTCGAAAATTAGGGGTTAAAGTAATTTTCAAAATATTGGTTTCCACCTTAGAGTATAGATAAGTAGAGCATACTTATATATACTCTAAGGTTTTCATCGTATCTCCAATGTATCTCTAAAATACTACTGACTAAAATTACAAACAGGATACTAAAGTATAGATTAAAGGAGAATTATCCTAACTACGTTATCTTCTTGAATTAATTCAACACTTTTAGGAAAATCCTTGAACATTGAAAAGTAGGTGTAGAATGAGTCAAAATTATCTTACGCAGAAAAATTATGTTAGCGCGGTCAATTGTTTAAGTATAGTACTTACACTCATTTATAATGAGATGGCACGGAATCCTAATTGTGAAAGTATACCTAACGCGGGTAACATTTATTTTAGGTGAAGTCTACCAAAAATATTACCCTACTTTTGGGCTTCACCGCTTTCAGGTAAAAAGATGCAAGGAAGTTCTTACACTTATCCTTCATAAAGCTAACAAATAGCCTTGTATGCAACTTACTAATAGAAATGAATCCATTAATATCATCCATAATAATTATTAGAATTGCTTAAATTCAGTTCGCACTCTATTACAATCTGCGCGCATATTTCATTAAACCAGTGTTATCACTTATCAGGCAAAGATTATTATCATTCTATTTAGTCATATTCATGACAACATAATCATACAATCAATAAGATGCGGGAATTTACTGTGTTGACTAAGTAATATGTATACTCCATTTTTTCGACTCTGAATTATAGTGGAAAAAGTCACGAAGAATCAAGGATTCTTTCTTTTACAATGAACTACCCAAAATACTGTGGTATTTCAAGGGCGAAGGCGCTTGCATTAATTTCAAAGTACAACTTCAATTTGGTCTTAATGGAATTATTATTTTAAAAAAAAAAAAAAAATCAAAACGAGAGGAACGTTATACCCTGCATAAAAAAACTTGTAAGTTTTACTTACTTTAACCAGCCTATTATCATATATCAGACCATAGCCTCTCAACTTAGCACTATTCGCCATAAACGACACACGTTGACGCGGTCTAGTGATCGCAGGACCAGACTCCTCACACCTAAGTAAATTGATTTTCCTTGCGATGCCACATATTATTTGCATCTAGACTCTTTGACCCCTATAAGGGCGACGATCCCCTTACGCAACTACTACATACATCAACACTTACACCAGTCACCCAGAGGGGTAGGCAGAGACTACAGACTTCCATTTGGCACGACCCTGACACACCTCTCTTGCCTCCTCCACATCCATATACCTACGCATACATGCTCGTCGGTTAAGGGTACTGCCTAATTTGGCCCGTTTTCAATATATCGCCAATTTGATCGATAAACTTTCGCCTAGGACGTCCCTTTCCGACTCTGCCGTTCGCTTCTTCAACATAAATATTCTTTATCACTCTTTCCTCATTCATTCTTTCCATGATTCCGGACACAGAATAAATAATAGTTCAAGGAACTGCTGATAAGAATTTCATGAGAAAAAACTCAATGACACAGGGAGGACTTTCAATAAAAATAAATGTATGCGAGAAATCTGCCGGTACCATTGAAATTGCCTATGTATTCAAACTGTAGGATTAATAGGGCTGGAGATGACGATGATGATTAAAAGCGGAATCATTCTTTTTTTGTACGGTGTTATCATTTTCATAATACTTACGTCAATCATTGTCCGTGCTTACTTATGTCAGTTCAAGCTGATAAGTCACATTTGGATGAACATTGCACAATAATACGTTGTTTCGTTGAATAAAATTTTTTTTAAGGTTCTCTTCATAGATAGAAAGCAGATAATCATCTACAATCTTACTTGTTTGCAAACACGTAATATAATTTTCTTTTAATGTTCAATCATATCTAACTAATCGTACTCCATGTGCATATTTTTCTATACAATTAAGGGGATATAGTAAATCAGCTCAAATTCTAATTTCGCTCCCACTTCCCTGCGCGTCGTATGCTAAGTACCGACATGTTTGTAATCACTAATACTGTAAGTAGATAGATCGTTAGACACTTATTTCATTAGGTTTATCATATTTATGCCTGTTTCTTAACGCCAACCTAGTCGCCTCTTATTTTTATTACGGTTATTTCCCATTTTAATTTTACGTCGTCTTGTTGCGTGCAAATATGTGAAAATAGTGGTATTTTAAAAAAAGTAAATAACATAAGCACTGCTTTATAGTTAGTTCAGTTAGTATGCAAAGTTTCATGATCTTATTTAAAATATTTTACGAATAACAGCGGTTTATTGTTTATTTTGGAGGTAACTTTGGATTTTTTTTCTATCGAGAAAATTTACGGAATCATGTTTTCGTCTAACATAGGCCTTAACATGAATCCTCAA